TTTTTTTTTCTCTTTTTTTTTCATTTCTTTATTTTCTTTTCCCCTTTTTTTTTTTTTTTTTTTTTTTTTTTTTTTTTTTTTTTTTTTTTTTTTTTTCTTCTTTACACTTCTAATATTGTTACAAGTGCGGGTCATCTGCACAAGCTATTTCATTCTTTTTAAACATAAGACATAAGGTTGTTATAATTTCTGCTTTGAGACTATTCAGAATTCTGATCTTCCTACATACTTTAAACATTATAGTTCTAATTCCGGTATACTGTACAATAGGTTGCAAGCTACTTTTATATGAACATAAGGCTGTTGTAAACTCTGATCTACGTACGTACGTACTCTGAACGTTATTATTCTTTTGAAAGATAAGGTTATTATGAATTTTTTTTTTTGAGGTTACAAATTCTGATCTACATCGCACTCTAAGCATTATCGCTCTAAATTCTGTTATAATAGGTTAAGCGGTGGTTCTCTATATTTTATGCTCTAACATTATAATGAATGAAAGAGTTGGATATAAGTATTTGAAATCTGTTGAAGGCAGTAATTCTTCGTATTTGAAGTCTGTTGAAAGCAGTAATTCTTCGTATTTGAAATCTACTGAAAATGGCAGTTTTTATAAACAAAGTAACTTTGAATTGTATTGGAAATCGGGCAAAGAAAGCACTTCAGATAGACAAAATAATCGTGTATTATACTATGACAAGAAAATTTGGTCTGCACAACAATCTTCTCTGGCTTCACACTCTTTTCAAGATTTTCTTTATAATAATCAATGGTCTACTCAGGTAAATTATCTATTGATGAATACTTAATTCGATTTATTTTGCTTTATAATTCTTAACTAAAAAAGGCTTAATTCATTTAGGATCCATATTCATTTTATGATCAAAATATAACTTCATTGTCAAGCGATACACCAATAAATAGTTTTATTAAACCTTCATACGATTATCAAGTAAACCAAAATCAATTACACCCTCGATCTATGTAGGTATTATTAAGCTTTTTAGTCAATAAAGCTATATTATTTACTTATTCATTTATAATCTATCTATATTTAGGCTTGGTCTCGATAATGAAGAATTACAATTAAATGAAAGTCAAAGTGAGATTAATAACTATGATGAGATTAATGACTACGATGAAATTAATGACTACGATGAGATTAATGGCTATAATGAGATTAATGCATACCGTGAAATTAATGACTGCAATGAAATTTTTGATACCGATTCTTCAGATGATGAAAATAATGTAATACCATCTGGATTATATGTAGGACAAAGTTTTCATACATGGGACGAAGCTGAAGAGTTTCTTAATAATTATGGAAAAGAAAAAGGGTTTAGTATTCGTAGAAAACGAAGTGAAGGTTTTACTGAAAATGAGAACAAAGTCATAACAAGAATTAATTGGGAATGTAGTTGTGCGGGTAAATATCAACCAAAAAAAGTGTTAAACCCTGCTAATCATCGAAACAGACAATCTAAAGCTACTGATTGTAAGTGGAAAATTAATGGAAATATGTCTAAGAAATTATCATCATCAATTATTTTTACTACTGTTGTGGATCAACATAATCATCCAATGACGCCTTCACCTACCACTACAATTGCAAAATATCGTAAATTTAATAGTGATACAATTCAATTTATTGAATTTTGTGTAAAAAGTGGAATATCGGGTGCACAACCTATTGGTCGATTACTAAAAAGCAAATTTCCAGAAATAAGAATTCATCAAAAAAACCTTTATAATGCTATCCAAGCTGCAAAGAAACATTTGACTAAAAGAGCTAAATTTGATGCATCTGATCTTATGCGCTATTTATATTCAAAACGTACTGAAGATTCAAGATGGTTTGTTGAAAGTAGATTTGATGGACTTGAGCGAAGATTGAGTGGACTAATTTGGATATCACCCGATCAACAATATTTATGGACTAGATATTATGATGTTATTTTTCTTGATACAACTTCTCGCACAAATAAATATAATATGGTCGCATGCTTTTTTGTTATCATTGACAACTGTAATAAATCACGACTTGTTGCATCCGCTTTACTTGAAGATGAAACTGAAGATAGTTTTATTTGGACATTTCAAATGATTAAGAAGTGTATGAATAATTTAATACCACAAGTAATATTTACAGATTCTGATCCTGGAATGGCTAGTGCAATACATTTAGAATTTTCAAGTTCTGTTCATTGTTTATGTTTATTTCATATCGATCTCAATTTAAAAAAAAATCTTCGAAATAAGCTTAATTCAGATGAATTTCGGGAGTTCCGTATGAACTTTTTTAAATGTAGAAATACTATGGTTGAAGATTTATTTGAAAGGCGTTGGGAAGCTTTGAAGTTAAAATATACTTCAGCAAGTAGTTATATAAAACGTCAATTAGATCCAACAAAGACAAAGTGGGCTGTATGCTATATCAATAACCAATTTACTGCAGGCGCAAATAGTACACAGCGTGTAGAAAATCTAAATCGTAAAATTCATACCTGTGTAGGATCTAATTCGTCGCTTTTAGAATTAGTTAAAGAAATTCAAGATATACTTGACAAAGAATCAAATTATATGAGGATAGAAGAATATGAAGGTGAAATTCCTAAAGTCGGGCTTGCAACAGTGCCTAAAACATATTTTAATTCAATTGAAACAGTTATTTCACAATACCTTATGCCAACAATGGTTTTTAAGGTTTGTGAGCAAATGCAAGAATGTTTCTTTTATGATTGTATTAAAATCAACCATACGGATCTTGAGTCTATATTACAGGTAACTATTTGAATTATGCATTATTAAACCAAAAATATTTATCATACTAACCGATTTATATTGTAAGGAACAAGTAAATATGGATTATGATGAAGGAATGCGTGAAGACAACTACGAGCTTATGAAAGTTCATTTGGTCAATATAGTTGAAAAAGTTGGATATGAACAAATCGTTGAAATTTGGAAATTAGTATTGTCTTGTGGAACTAAAAGACAATATATTATACTTACAGTAGATGGTTCACATATATGTACATGTAATCTTCTTATAACACATGGTTATCCATGTCGACATTTTTATAAAATTTTACGTTGTTCATCTCAAGCTAAATGGCACATTGGACTTATTGCAAGACGATGGTATAAGGATGATATTATCAAAGAAAATCCGAATAAAATTTGGGAAAAATCTTCTATTTCATTATGCATTAATAACATTCAAAATCAAGAAATTACAAGCGATTTTGGATATTTGAAAGAGATTCGCAATTCAGATGTTTATACACCAGTATTGCAAAAAATTAATAGTACACGCCAAAAATATGGCCGTGCACAAGGCATAATGCGAAAAGTTCTTGATTTAGCAATTTCTACTAATTCGTATGATGAATTAATAGGCATTTGTCAAACTTTTATATTAAATAAGCAGCACATTCAAGAATCACAGCAAGAAAAATCATTACAAGATGAATCATCACGAGATGAATCATCACGAGATAAATCACTGCAAGATGAATCACCACAAGATGAATCACAGCAAAATGATGAATTTAATATTGGAAATCCAATAATTACAGCTCGAAGAGGAAGGCCTCCGGGAAGAGCAAAAAGTGCTGTTGAAATTCAGGAAAATCAGACAAAAAAACGTCGTTATCTTCAACTGATAAATGTTAATCAGGTAGTTAATGAATCTGAAAATGTGCACAATAGATTAAAAGAAAAGGATACACGCAAAACATGTCAAAATTGTAAGCAAAAGGGACATAACAGAGCAACATGTAAAAATTGATTGTAGTGTTTTATCTATGTATGCAATTTAATTATAATGACGCTTAATGAGTTATACTAAAGCTTTGCATTATAGCAGTCTTAAATTTGTATGTTATCATAATGATACTAATATACAAGATTCTAAAAAAATAAAGCTTTGAGCTTCTAAATTTATAATCTATTATTTACCAAATTCAGTCTATGAAAATTTGATGCTAATAATATAGTCTAAATCCGGTAAATAATAGATAATAAACTTGGAAGTCTGAAGTCTTATTTTTACTAACATTTATATAAGTTTAGTTAACTCAGAATAATTATAATCTCTTCAAGCAATCGAATGATGCACAAAGGTATAGTTTATATAATTTTTTTCGTTTCATTAAAGCACAATAGTAATATATGATAACGATATTAGTAAATCCAAATAGAACCTTTAAAGTGTGATCGTATAATTAAGAAAGCTTATCTATCAAATTAGATTTCTATATGTTGTCCTTTTATAATAGTTAGGGTAAGGGTGAGCACAAATATAAGTTGTTTTTTTTAGTTAGCGGTTAGGGTTAGGAGTTTTAGGTAAAAAAAATTTTTGTAACTATAATGATCTTTAATTTTCATGTAGAATAAATTAGCAATCAAAATTCATCAAATTGGCCTAAATTTATGGTCGAAATAGGCCAGAATTTCAAATTCTTATTAATAAACTAGTAGCTTATATATATCAAGTAAAATTACTCAGCTATGTACTAATTTTGCTAAGTACGTATGCATATATAACAGTTTAATTTGTATTTAAAGTTTGGATCAGGATTTAGGTTAGCATTTCAATTTAAGAGCTATAATATAGTACAATTGTGCAAAAAAAAAATTTTTGTTAGGACCAAAAAGGTGATTTACTAGTCTATATTTCATGAGCGAACGTTTGTTTTGATTTTCTTTATGTAATACCTGATATCAGTTTTTAATTGGCTAACTGATATCGGAAAATCAATCCTGGCATTGTATTATACTGATACAAGTTAGAGGTTAAATACGGGTTTATTTTCTTATATTAAACTGATTTTAATCGGTTTAATATAAGAAAAATAAACCCGGTTTCACAATTTATATATTATGTAGTACTATAAATATATATAACTATATATATATATATAATTGTATTTACAGTATGTATATAGCAGGTAATTATAATTTATATGTTACACAATAAAATCGGTAATTTTACCACCGGTTAAAATTAGCAATTGTCTTTTTTTATATGTTTAATTATTTTATTTTATTTTTAATTATATTTTTTTACATGTTAAATTTAATTTTTTTATTTTTAATTGTTTTTTTGCATGTTTAATTAATTTAATTTATTTTATTTTTAATTATTTTTTGATTATTTTATTTTATTTTTTTAATTATTTTTATATATTTAATTTATTTTTAATTGTTTTTTTGATTTTTTTTAAAGGATTTTAAAAAATGGTGCACCTGCACCATGGTGCACCCCTAGCTATATCTCAAAATTTTACTAGGGTAACCCTGTTG